TTTTTTTTTTCTGAGTGTGATAGTTCATGCCTTTATTAACAACATTCAGGAAACACAGACAGGAAGTTCAGGGCCACCAAACCTACAAGATTTCAAGATAGGGCTATAATAAAACCCACTTTTAAAAGGAGGTTTTTACACTGGCTCATATTGAAAAATCACTATATCCAACACCTCCGACTAAGGAAATAAGTTTTCCATGTCAGGGTTTCTCTGTGTCGCCATCCCTGGAACTCATGCTTCTGACTAGGCAGGCTGGCCTCTAACTCAGATAGGCTTGCCTCTACCTCCTGAGTGCTGAGATTAAAGAAATGTCCCGCCAACAGCAGGCAGGAAAATAAAATTATAAGCCCATCAAAATCCCTAAGGAAGATACATGTAATGGTACTTTATTATACCCAAATCCATCCTGGGTTACATACTGAGGCCCTGTTTCAGGAAGCAGAAACATGGCCCTTGAGATGACTCTGTGGGGTAAACATGTTTGCAGCTAAGTCTAACATCATGACACCCGAGCTCCCAAGTAGTAGAGGCTATACTCCTATACACCGTAGTCTTGATTCCACATGTCTCCAAGCATGGACATACAAAAAAGGGATAAAAAGTAAAATAAATAAATAAAATAAACACAACAAAACATTTAAGAGCCCTTGACGACAAAGTGACAATTTCCAGTGCTCATGTGTTATTATTAATATTAAGAAACAAGAAAGAAGACGATAATCCAAAGGGTGTAGAGGGCTGGATGTGCACCCAAGGTTAGCCTGAGGGTCAGTGGGGGTGGGGTGGGGAGTGCGGGGGAGTGACTCAGATCAGTTTAGCAGATTTGACTCTTCTCCAGTGAGTGGTAGATGTCAAGAAATTGCAAGAGAGAGCAAAGAAAACCACTTAAGATGGTGAGGTAATACCGCGTCTCCTGGGTTCTAAGTTCCTACTGCCTGAATGGCGCACCTTCGACTTATTAACCACTTTGGCAGGAAAACAAAACAAAAACATTATGTTAGATAAAGGGACTGTTGGGGTACATCTTTCATTTCATTATGTTGAATCATGGGTATAATTCAGAGAGATAAGAGAACTGTCAATATGACAGGTGACCCAATCCATCTCTTTTACTTTAAAGAGAAATAGGAATACAAAGGCAAAGGATGAATTTGGGCATGTAGAAAAGATTACTTGAACATGTCCATGGAAGCAACATGTCCAGGAAGCCACATTTTAAGTAAGGGACCCCAAGTCTCCATAGGTTTTTAACAGCCCTGGGGTATACAGGACACAACAGGCCTTGCTTGAATTGGCCCAGTGAATGGGAGTGGCCATGTGGCTAGGGTTACACCATCTGCAGAGGTATAGGTTCATTCATTCTCACCTGGTTGCTTGTTGTTGGGTTTGAGGCCCTCGATTCCAGTGGGCTTGAAGCCCCCGTGGGCCCACTCCAGCATGGGCTTCAGCTGGTCCTCCAGTGAGTCTCCAGGGCTGCTGGGGAAGGTCTTGCCAGCTCGCACCCTGGCTTTCTGCCAAGACACAAATAAAGACAAACTCTGTCCATGAATGGGAGCAGGTGATTGAGGTATGTATGTGCCAGGGTGAATCCAGAGATTCCCCCTGCTGGGGCCTGCATTCCCTAACAGTGGTGTCTTTCAGAGATAGACAGCTGTCCTGGGCTGTGTCATGTGACAGGGGTTTGATTTAAGGGACAGTTTGGGAAGCAATAGAAAGGGACTCAGGTGAGGGAGCCTTTCCTATAGGTACCATATATCGTCACATTCCTCAAAGAGATTGACCAACCTGAGCTATTATTTAAGACATAGAAGCAAGGCTCAGGCTGTTCCACCCCCATCTTTAACAGCTTGTCTAGGAAGACTACCTTTCCTTATATCTTCTGAAGGGATGAAGCCAAGCATCCTTGTTTCAAAGCGCAAGATAATCTGTAGATCTTATTTGGACACATGTCTATGTGGTACAAAGGTTGGTGGGGCTAGGGTGAGGGTAAGAAACTAATATTTCCAAAGTATAAGTAAATGTCTACAAATGTCTGTAAAAAGCCCTTTAGTAGTATGACTATGTGACCACACAAGTCTGTAGTCATCCTGACTTACCTAGCTAACGATATTAACCCGTTAGTGACTTCCTTCAGACATGTGAAACCCTAATCCTCCCCATTTACTTCCTTGGTATCCCTGACTCCAAACCAGTCCTGGTAACATCACTAGTTTCCCATCAGTTTCTTCTTCCCCGCCTATAGGCTGAAACCCTAGTCATCACCCACACCCATGTTACCTCCAGAGTGTGGTACATGGCCTTCCTATAAGAAACCAGTTTATTAAAGGTGGCCAGATTAAAGTGCTGGCTGAACAGCCCCAGAGCCACCAGTTTGTCAGCAGAGATCTAGGAGAGAAAAAACATGACTGTGATGGACCCACAAGTAAGCTCAGTGTGGAGTGATTCACCCAGAGCCCATTCCAACTCAAGGTACAGATGCCAATACTGAAAAATAAAAAGCAAAGGCGAACAGTACACAGAACAGACTTCACAGCTAGAAACTCCTCCAAATGTGGGTAAGAAAGATGATCTAGTTGAAGTTTCCTCAACCTCCTGCACAGGTGTAAGTACAGGTGTGAGTACACGTGCGTGAACAAAGTGAACATCACATCATGTGAGGCTCAGTCCTAAAACTGTCCTTGATGTACTTGTGTGTTCTTCCCTGTGTGTAATAACCATTGACTCTAATACAGTCATTTCCCACAGTGCACACTCTCAAAGTGTGCTTGGGCTCTTACTACTCACAGTGACTGTAGTCCTCATCTTGATCACTAAGGCAAATAATTTATGCCAATACGGGAAATGAGTCATGATAGGATTCATAGTGAATGCAAAGACAAGGCTGGGTGTCTCAGGCCGTAGGACCATGGGTATCCCTACATGCAATGCTGGCTTTCACGATCACCTACAGCTATACTGAAGAGCTTCAACTCTGTGGTGTGCCTACCATGCTCTAGTCACCATGAGCAAGACAGTGGGTGCTATGTAGGCTTTGGGTAGATCTTGGCCTTTGAATCCCATAATCCTGCCATCTCCGCGCTGCCCCATATAGCCATCTGACCTTGTCTAGAAATGAGAATGTTATGTCTCACTGGATTAAAGCAATGAACAAGTCCTACTGCTCCCTCTGCTGTTAAGACAAGGCAACTGCATGTAATCTCTCCGGGGATTCCTACCCCAGGGGAATGTAGACTGAATTTCAGGAAAAGTCAGAATAAATACAATTCATAGGAAACAGAACGTAAAATGGAACAAAGTCCTCTAAACGCCATTTCACCCTCAACTGTTTGCTGTACCTCAGGAACGCTTTTCTGTCTGCCAGGAAATGATGAAGACAGACATTTCTAAGGAAACCGCACAAGAAATTCATTCTACCTGCCTTGCTCAAATGTAGTCAGCTAGACAATTTTTAGGAGGTAAGGGCACACTGATTTGCCGGGCGGTGGTGGCGCACACCTTTAATCCCAGCACTTGGGAGGCAGAGGCAGGCAGATTTCTGAGTTTAAGGCCAGCCTGGTCTACAGAGTGAATTTCAGGACAGCCTGGGCTACACAGAGAAACCCTGTCTCGAAAAAACAAGATTCCTGGCATCCAAATAGTAGCTCATAACAGTCTCTTAAGTCCAAGGGATCTGAAAATCTGAAGTGTGTCTTCTGGCCTCTCATGCTGTACAAAACTACATCCAGAGAAACACCCATACTATACTGCTAGGATGGTAGAACTTGCCTAGCACATGTGAGGTACATGGGTTAGACCCACAATACTTAACAGGCACAAAATAAACTCTCAATTTATGCCCCGAAGAATCTCGTTAGAAAGATTCATTTTAAATGGTTAATACTAGCTCAAATTATCTTTTCATCCAGCCTCTAAGGCTGTCATGGACTTCTTCTGTAGAGAAGACCTGTCTCTGCTGGGATTACAGGGGTAGGGATGTGTGTGTTTGTGTGTGTTTGTGTGTGTGTGTGTGTGTGTGTTTGAAACACCTCTCCTAACCACTTCACCATCCCTCCACTGCTTCCTTTCCAGCAGACTTGTCACAGGCATGGCTGCATACCTTCATTCCCAACACTCTAGGACACTGAGACCCTGTCTTGAAGAATAAAGAACCTCATCTGATTCTACAGCAAGCTAAGACAAGTAATCCAAGAAGTATTTTTCTTCACTCCAGTACCAGTACCAAGCTTACTGTAGCCATAGCAGAAAGCTGACCTTAGAGCCACCTCAAGAGGAGAAGCAAGGCCTAAGGGGGGGCCTTGCCCTTAGCTCACCTCAGAAAACTTGCCATCACCAAACCACTGCACCCAGCGCATTCCGGGCATGGCCTGGCGCTTGGCGGTGGCTTTCCAGGACACCACCATGGCAGGCCACCAGGAGAAGCCCTTGATCTTTCCCCACACGAGGTCACCTATTCCAAATTCCTTCTCATCCTGGAAGAATAAACAGAAAGAATTGTAGTTACCAGGGCAGGTAAACCTGGAGAAACTCCACTGACCAAGGGCAAGAAAAATCTTGGCCATAAAATGTGATGTACAAATTCATGAAACAGCTCAGTGAGTGGTACATACAAAAAGATCCCAAGGAAAAAAATAAGTTGGTTTTTATGGCAAGTAGGGGCCATTATCTTGGAAGTGTATCCTGTTTTCCACTGCCCCAGAGATTAAACTCAAATGAGGCTTGGTGGGAAGTACCTTAACCACTGAGACAGCTTACCAGCCTGAAAACTAAGTATGGGAAGCAGAAAGAAGCCCATGCTCACTCTTGAGTACATTTGTGCAAACAGCCTCCCATAAATAACTTAACTACAACCTTGCCTCATAAAAAAAGCAATATATGAGGTTACATCAGGAGGTATTCTGAATCAACACAAAATTTTGACATTGTTGAGATGTATATACCTTGTAATATATATGTATGTGTAGAAAGGCATTAACTGGCAATGTATACCAACAATCCCAACTGGTTAACTCCAGAGCCTGAATGATAACACTATTGATTACCTGATAAAAGCCACAAATACTATCTAAGAAAAATTATGTCCCCATGGCAACTACTCAGATGCTAAACTGGTAGGAGGATATTGCAATAAAGAAAAGCCCTATTAACAGAAATCCCAAGAGCATATATATATATATATATATATATATATATATATACCTGCATTGGGGGGGGATCAAGGATTTGGAGGAAATCCTTTGCTACACAATTTTTAAGACAGGCTCTATCTCACTATATCCTAGCATGAAGCTTCCTATGTAGAACAGGCTTGCCTCTGCTTCCTATGTTTAATGATTAAATGTACATGGTATGAAATCTTAAAATCTTTTTAGTCACTAAGAAAGTTTTACAGTTTCCTTTTCCCTGTATTTTGGCTCTCATGCAAACGTGGACCAGTATCCTGTCTCAGTGGTACCTGGTACTCAGTGCTGTCTCCATCTCTGCTCTCTGTATCCACCTGTGTGGTATCCATGTCCTCCTGATGATCATCCTGGGTCAAGTCAACCGATGGAATACTGCTGCTCTTAGGTGTCACATCTTCCATGAGGTCAGTGCTGGCAGGGGATGACCATGGTGTACTCGCTGTAGATGAGGCTCGACGCCTCCGAGACTAGACGGAAGGATGAGATGGAGACCCGGTGAAGCAAAGCAGGAAGGGTACACAAATAGTACTGACAGGTTCTCAGAGAAGTAAGAATGAAAAAACCAATCAGCATCCCAGAAGTCAGGGTTACAGGAACTAGCTGGCAGCCATTTGACAGCAAGGCAGAGCAGAGAAGATTCAGTGTGCATTCAATGACAGAAACTCTCAAGCTGTGCTCAAAAGATGGGGTCCATCTGGAAAAAGAAGAATGTGCTGGCCCCGTTGGGGTTGCCTCACGACAGCATGAAAAGACACAAGACAAAGGAGAATGACGCCAGTGGCTTTTGGCTCAATTCCAAGGTGGGCTAGACCTGAGCACTCGGAAATTCGCCTCCTCAAAGTAGCTCAAAGTAGGATGAGTCAGGAGAGAAAGTAAGAAGCCAGCCCCTGGAGAGCAGGAGCTTCTGAAGAAAGCACACATCATACACACAACAGTGCTGTGGTGAGGGAAGCAGAACTTGGGACGTCAGAGATGGGACCAACCCTGGTGGCCGGGAACTCCACGGGGTACTCCTGCACATGGTGGCGGCCCTGCCGGCCTCGAGTGATTCTAGGGGAGGCTCTTTGCCTCTCCAGGCTGGAGGTACCGTTGCTATTTCGAGTTCGGACCTGAAAGTAAAAAAGGATAGATGCTGGGCCTTAGGTGAAGAGATGCACGGGGTCCAACAAAGGCTCCCAAAGGAATGAGACTTGAGAAGGTCTCAATTCAACCTGAAGTGAAGAAGACGCGTATGTAATCTCAGGAATGCATTTAACAAGGAGACTTTGTAAGAGACTATCAGACTGGCCCGTGTCACAACACAGATTTGACCACCTGAACTGGCAGCAGCACATGGGGACTGAATCAGTTTGCCTTCCTAAAGCTGTAAGGCTTAAATGCAGTTCCTCATGTGGTGGTGACCCCTGAACCCACTCAACCATAATATTGCTTTCATTGCTACTTCGTAACCACAATTTTGCTGTTATGAATCACAATGTAGCTGATATGGAGGATATCTGATATGCGACCCTGTGAAAGGGTCTTCAGACCCCTCCCCCCAAAAGGGGTTGAGACCCACAGGTTGAGAACTATTGCCTTAAACCAAGTATTATTACACCAAGAAGCACAGGTCTTGATACTGGCTTACTTAAGAGGGCACTGGATGAAGACAGAGCAGAAAGGCACAATTTTCTCAGCATGGTGTGTACTGCCTGTTGTTATCATTTATTCCAACTCCATAGAACATTGATGTGTGTGGGGTTGTCACCTGCCTGGAATCCCAGCATAGAGACTGGCGCAGGAGACAGCCTGAGACCCAACTTTAGCTAAAAAACACAGTTGAAGTTACTGAAGTTGTCTCTAGTGTGTAAGATGAGGAAAGTACAAATCAACAGAAGGTGACATCATTGCTATAGCTGCCATGTTCTCGCTGACCCACTGGGACTTCCCATTTCAATAGAAATGGAAAGTTTTGAGTTTAGTTTTTAGTTTTAGTTTTTAGTTTTTAGTTCCAACTGATGTATGTTCATTATTTTGTTTGATGATTGTATGATTAGATTAAATTAGATTAGAAATCAATACATAGACTACCCTTGTCAATGTCTTCTTGAGCCAGGGCATATACTCAGAGAAGAGAACTCACAGAAGGGACAAGAGCCTCACTCAGTCACCACCCAAAAAATTACAAGCTCACGGTAGTCAGGAATGAACCTGTTATCTCTCTCGGATATAGCATGTTGAGTATAACATGACAGCAATGGTTGAGTGTGGCGGCCCAAGTTTTTAATTCCAGGAACTGGAGAGGCAAAAGCAGGTAGATCTCCAAGTTAAAGGCCAGCTCGGTCTACAGAATGAGTTCCATCACAGCTAGGGGCTACACAGAGAAATCCTGTCTCAAAAACCACCAAACAAAAGATAACAGTCATGCTAAGCAATGACTTAGCTTAGCAGATACCTTCCAAAGTTCAAATCACTTGAGAGTTGTGAATTGGTAGAACATTTGTTTCCTGTAAGCTCTGGGTTTGAGCCCTAGCCCCACACAAAGCCAGTGTGATGGTGCACGTCCCCAGTGCAGCAAGAAGCAGGTCAGATTTACACAGGTAAGTTAAGGTCGTCTCTGTCACAATGCAACACTAATCCTCCTGCCTCTATCTCATGGGTGCTGGTGTTCCAGGACTTCCACACACCCAGGCTTAAAGCTCCTCCCCTGCCATCAGCAGGAATGTGAACTTAGACCTGGTCACCGAGTGAGGTTGAAAACACCAGTGATCAATTCAGTTGCCTGGTGTTTTAGCAGAATAGGTAACAAACATGAAGTCTTCCTCAAAGGGACTGTAGTCAGAAAATGTGGATGATATCCCAATTTAAGTGGCTTTTGTTGATCATCACGTTCTTGGTGTCAAGCAGCTGTGGCTCACATGCTCTCTGCTCTCTCAAATGTCACTTGACCTTGAGGCTCAGGTTATAATCTGAATTACCCTGTAGTAGCTGAAGGACATTAACACCTAACCAAGGGGCTCATTGGGTTAATGGACTTGCCAAAGGCTGCCAATCTTGAGTTTGGTCCCTGAAATCTATATGCTGCAAGGTGAAAGCCTAGCTTTCATAAGTTGTCCACTGATCTATAACACACATAAAACCAAACGAGTCAGAAAAAAAAATTCTGATGAAACAATGTCTAAGTCTCATTTTTTATGCGGGCCCAAGGCTGGCAGAGAGGGGCCTGAGCTCATCAGGTGGGACTTACGGCTGGGCTTTCAGAGGATGTCCTGGTGTCCCTGGTCTCACGGGTGAGCTTTGGCATTAGAATATCAGAGCCATCCCCATCATCCACTTCATCATCCCCATCTCCATCTCTTGTCAGGTCCTAGGGAAAGGTCATGGGACAGAAGCATCATTACATTGATACAGTCCCCAAAATACACCCTATAATCACCTCATTTTTCTCTAGTCAAGTTTCACCTCTGCTAATCACATGTGGATTAAAAAGATAATTCCCAGGCCACCAGCACGTTATGGAAATGAGACTAAGGCTGCCTTCTAGACATACTGTCTCAACTTATTCAGAACACATGTGGGAGGACCTAACCCAAGGGTTGGTGGAGGCCAGCCTGGTTTACAGTGACAACGGAGACAGTCAGGACACTGTCTCAAAGAAACAACGCAAATGCCAAAGCTATCATGGCTGAGGTGAGCTCATTCCAGGAATGGGTGAGTTTTGCTCCATTAATATACTGAGGGCAGATAGACAGGGAGGACTAAAACCTTCATAGTGCAGTAAAGAATTCCATGTGTCTGGTTTTTCATGCAATCAAAGCCCAGAGCCACACGAAGAGATAAGACGGTACCTGCGCGTAATTCAGAAGGCTGGAGACCTCCCTCTTAGACAGCCGTGAGCTTGATCTGCGGCCTGCAAGGAAGAGTTGGGAATGCACATTTGCGGGTAGGACAGTGGTCACCAGCCTGGAGAGTGACCTCAGCCGACCCCAACACAGTCATTTTAGGAAGCCAGTCTCCATCATATCCACGAACTCACAGTGTAAGGGGGCACAGGGCCTGGATTATGCCTGTCTCCATAAGCTGGGTATTAACATTTTAGGGCAGAAATCCCTTTCCGTCAGTTTCAAATGTTCCCATATGGGAAAGTTGCTCTTGGGGTCAACAGGGAAAGTGGGCCACTTTTATCCATTTCAGAAGGTCCTAAGGGACTCTAAATGTCAAGGATAAAAAGGGACAATACAGGGGACTCCAAACCAGTGACAGAGGAAATTTCAAGGTCTCGGAACTGCTAAGAGGAAGAGGCCAGTAGGCGGCATCTCCTGATCACCGGGAAGCCCACACAAGCTCAGGAAAAGCAATGCATGGGGCAGACTCTGAGACCTGTCATGGAACCTGCCATGCCTGAGCTTTGAAACCCACCTCTGGTCTCTGGTGTGCAGACTGGCTCTGTGCAGATTGCCTCCAAGACTGGGGGTGAGGGAGCATCCTTCGTGTCTGAGGACTGGTCACTACAGGGCCCATCGATGATGACACAATCCTCGTACCCGCTGGCACCCTCTTCCTCATTCAGATGTCTGCTGTCTCCCTTCATGGTCAGCTGTGGGGAAAGGTCAGGTTAAGTAGGAGGTCGATGGGGCACGCTGCAAGGGTCACACCACAGCTTCTCTAGTCCCTGCCCGAGAGACCCCATGATCCAGTCTCAGGCTCGCATTGTGTCCATGATCCCAAGACTCCTCCCAAACAGAGCCTGTCTGCTCACCGAACTTGGAGGCTCAGGACTTGATTCCATTTGGCTAGATGGGATCAATGCCCCTGACGCCTGCTCTCAGGACAGAAGAAGATTGTTCTGAGGCTGGGGTCTGAGATTAGGGCTGCTCTTCAAACAATGCCATCTAGGGCATTCCTACCTGAGCCTGCTTGAGTCAGCCCAAGTTCCCGTCTGTCCCTGATCCCTTCTTCCTGCCCAACCTCTGCAGAGCCTAAAGAAACCAGTGAACTCTTTGTTTGCTGTCTTCAGGTCTCCTTTCCTCTTCTTCCCTTCCTCACAGACAGGCTTCTCTCCATGGCAGCACAAGCTCCACCCCGGCCCATCATCTGGGCCCCATTGGTCACTTGACCTCTCATTCCCTCCCTCATCAGCTGAGGCTGAATCCCAAGTTGTGAAGGGAAGGGAGGATGGAGAAGAAGCAGTGGCAAAGGGCTGTGGCAGCTACCAGGAGTGAGCTCTGACCTGCCTCTGCCAGCCTCATCCCACTCCCAAGACCTGGCCTTGTATAGCTGTCCCTCTAGTAAGCCAGCTAAGACAGCAAGCCAGGCTTCACTGATGGGCTGATAGGCTTGTGTGACCTGATTCACTCTCTACAACTTTGTGGACACCAATTAGACATAGGTACATGTAAGAACCTGTCCTTGGCCAGGTAACACATGTCTTTAATCCCAACACTCAGGAGGCAGAGGCCAATGAATGTCCAAGCTATATAGGGCTTCACTATAAGATCCTACCTCAAAAACAAACAAACAAACAAACAAAAACAAAACAAACAAAAAAAACCCACAGAACTGTACCTTTCTAACAGACAACTGTGAGAGCCCATTCTGGAATAGAGAAGTGATGCCACAGAAAAGAACCTGAAATTTCCACATGAAATGCAATATGGCCCAATAGCACCATCAGGACTAGAGTTGGAAGCCCAGCACTGGGGTAATGAGACATGAATGGTAAAATAGCGACCCTGCCTCTAGACTGTAAGAATGCAATGATAAAATAGAAAAATCAGGGGCATGTGAGTTAGACAGTCAGCTAGTAGACGCTGGCCATGAAGATTAAAGACCTAACTCCGATGCACAAACCCAAATGGAGAAGCTCCTTCATTCTCCTCAGATAAACGTAAGCTCATGTGTACACACACAAGTAGATAAAACTTTACATTTTAAAAAGAAGAAAAAAGAAGCACACCATGAGTGGGAATATAGCTAGGTTAACAGAATATTTTTACATAGCCAAACCCTTAGGGAATTTTTGCCAGCATGAGAAAATTAAATCTGTTTATAGTTATTCAAATCTATAATGCAGGAACTTGGGACGCTTCAAGAGTTAAAGATGGTCTGAGTCATACAGTAAACCTCGATGAGAACTAATACAGGACTCAGGGATGGTAGCATGCAACTTTACTCTCAGGACTGAGAACGGAGGAGGTAGGCAGCTCTCTATGAATGAGGCCAGCCTGGTCTACAGAGCAACTTTCAGGACATCCAGGGCTACACATTAGAGGTGGAGAGATGGCTCAATGGTTAAGCATTGGCTCTCTTTTCTCCAGAAGACTGGAATCAATTCCCAGCACCCAAAATCCTCCAGTTCTAGGGGACCCAAACAACCTTTTCAGGTGCAATACACATATGCAGACATATATGCAGGCAAAACACCCACCCACAAAAGTAAATAAATATCTTTTAAAATAATAAAACTATAAGTGTGTCTAGGATCTATCTCTATTTGAGAAAAAGGCTCTTATAACCCCAGGAAATGGGGTTCATTCTTTCCAAGAATTCCTAGGCAGTGTAGTCTGGCCTTGAACATCTAGCAATCAGCCTCAAAATAAGAGACTGGAGGCATGCTTTTGTGAGCCATGTTCCTTCACCTGCTGTGTATCCACTTTTGTATGTTAACTACAAATCTCAGGTGTGATAACTGCATAATCAAGTCATACATACACATGTACACACACACACACACACACATATCTCGGACACAGCTGGGTGTAGAGGCACATGCCTTCTTTAATCATAGCATTCAGAAGGCAGAGGCATGCAGAGATCTGAGTTTAAGGCCAGCCTAGTCTACAAAGTGAGTTCCAGTACAGCCAGGGCTACACAGAGAATCCCTGTCTCAAACATAAAATCCCAAGCGTGGGAACTACATAATCAAGTCATACAGTCACAGACAATCTGTCCCTGTTTGGTTTGTTTTTCTTTTTGTTTTCAGACAGGGTCTCTATGTAGCCCTGGCTGACCTGGAGCTATATAGACCAGTCTGGCTTCAGATTCAGAATCTGCATGCTTCTTCCTCCTGAGTGCTGGAATTAAAGGCTCACATACCGTTGGTATCAGATCACACCAGGCCTGGAATTTCACTCCCTCTCACTATACAGCTGACAGAACTCACTCACCACATACACTTGTGTTCTGGAACTCGGCTGAGAGAGCGGTTAACCATTGGTTTCCAGTCTCTCTTTGCTCCTAAAACACTCACCAGGTATCTACCCAGTGAACTTTCTAGAAGCAGCACCTGGTGTTGCTCCAAGAATACAAGACAGGGTTAGCATCTATTGGGGGGTTGGGGAGGGCTGTGAGCTCCGTATGAACAGGCGCAGTGGCACACACGGGAATATGTGAAGTTTATTCATGGGCCTAGACTGTATCCTTTATACCTGCCCAAGCATGAACACTTGGCAAACAGACCATGTGAACCTCTCGTTCTATCTGTAGGCCAGAGCCAGCACCTTGCACTGGATACACAGGCCTTAGCTGCAATTTCAGGCTAAAGCTAACTAACCTGCCCCACCAGTGTTTTAAACTTCATCAAAATCTCTGGCTAAGTAGATTAGCTAATCTGTGCATTAGAGAATCACAAGGTGGCAAGTGGAACTCCTGGGCCACCATGGTCCACGGTCCCAAGCTTCATGACTTTTTTTTTAAACACAAGGACTCTCTTCTCCCCAGACAGGGAAAGTATCTTATCTGATCAAGTCCCATCAGCCAGGCAGCATGACCTGGTAGAACAAACTAGTTAACTGTATGTGGCCAGTTCCTGAGGATTCATTCAGGAAAGCTGCTGGGCTGTGCTCAGAAGAGCATTTTCCCTCAGACACAACCATCGCCACCTGGCACAAATGGGACGCTGAACCCTAGTGGGTTCACTTGAGGTTCACTCCCTCAAGGCACACTTTGAGAAGCTAAAATACAGGAGAGTCAGAGACCTAAAACAAGGACATGTGTGACCTCTCATCCAGGGTTAGTGGTGGGTTTTCTCACACAGCCTTGGACTTCAGTCCCTCAGACAGGCCCTATCTGGGTCAACCAGAAGCCAGACAGGTGTGTGCCCTCTTTCTACACAGGTCTGAGAGGACCTGCTGCCCAGCGCTGGCAATGATTAACCACCCTGGACCTTTCCCCAGGGCATTAGCAGTGCCTAGTGAACCAGTGTCTGAAAGGTGGGCAGCATGCCTTCCCAAAGCACCTCAGCATCCCACAAACCCACCTGAACCCACAGGCAGGTAGGGCGTGGAAATGAACCTACCATTCTGGTCCATTACCTAGATGCCCAGGGATGGACTTCATGGGGCTAAACACTGGGGCTGTAGGGATGCCTCAGTTGTTAAGAGTTGTTAAGCGCAAGAGGACCTGGCTTGAAGTTCACAATCCCTACAAAGTGGCTTACAACTACCATGGATCTGACTCCTTCTAGTCTCCTCAAATACCAGGCAAGATCATAGTCTATTGGTCTACATAGTAAGTTCCAAGCCATCCAGGGTTCTAAGTTAGACCTTGTCTAAAATAAAAAAGGGTTGAGGGAGGGGAATGTGTCAGACTGGGTATAGAATTTAGACAAAGAGAACGTAACATGCCTGGCATTCGTAGAGCCTGATAACACCAAAACTCAGCTCACCACCAGGGATTGGTATGTGATGCCAAATTACAAATCTCTTCCCAGGTACCTCATTTTAGCTTCAGGCAAAACTCTGGCTTCCAGTTCAACACTAGTACTTACTGAATAATATGGCCCCTATCATGAGCCAACTGTTCTTCTTCTTATCTACTGAGATTTTCCAGTAGGAATACTAAACTGGCTGTTCCTTCCCAGGTCTTACCTTTGCAAGGGATTTTTCCAGTGTGACTGACACTGTCAAATTGAACACAGGTAATACTCTCTGGTCTCTGCTCTCTGCAGCCTGAACAGCACAAACACACATCTCCCAGGAAACCATACAGGAGTTAATGACCCTGCCAATTCTAATGGCCAGGCAGTCCAGAGGGCACAGGCCTTACTGATGATGTTTCCAGAGACAAGCAGACAGACCCTTAAATGCTATTAAGGATTCATCAGCCACTCCAGGTCTGCATGGCATGAAGTATACGGTCTACTGCTGTATTTACCTTCCAAGAGGTAGCTGCCTAACCTTGGGAGCAAAGGTAATATCGGACTCTTTCCCAGAGCTTGGGCATCTGTACAGGAACCAGGTCAGAGGAGATCGAATGCAACGTGGCAAACACCACCAATTATACTCAAGAGGGGGTCCAGGAACTCCTTCCAACCCCAGCAATGAAGCTTAGAGCTGATGCCATCCACCTCTTCCAGGCTGGCCAGCAGAAGAGCTATTCCACAGCATTTTGTAACCTCCCTGGCAGGAAGGGAGGTTGTTAAGGACGTGTATGGGGAGCAAATGGGATAAGTCTGTGCCTCACCTCCAGCCTCAGGACAAGACAAATAGGAAGATTCTCACCTGTTCCATTCAAGGTGTCATCCCCCGCCTGTTCCATAGGAGCAGCTGTGATCAGGTGTGCTGCTGGGAGCATTTCCCTTGTGCCTCACAGTGAAAC